GGTAAGTGTAATAATATATGAGCATACAACAATGACGTAAACCAAATTTCTCTGACCCAACCACAGTTGCATTATAAATCACTGCTGTAGAGAGTAGTCCAATAGTTAGACGAACCTATATAATAATGGTTTAGTTAGAGGAACCCATTAGATGGCGAACATCGCAGCACTTCGGTGAGATATTTCAATTTCAGTGAACTTCCTTAAGATGCGTTCGTGGACACTAGCTGTAATGGGTGTCTAAAAGTTTACTGGGGAAGTTAAAACTGAGATCATAATATGTTATATGACGCTGCAAAGAAAACCGTTAATTACATATAATTGATTATTTTAAATGCTAATGTTAATCGTTTAACAAATTTAAAATTGTTAGGTGCATTCATGTACAATCTCTTTTAATATATAGGTATATGCAAACTTCAAATGTAAGGGTTGTTTTTGTATAGGTACTAACCAAATTAGTATGACTGTATTTTAGATTCTGAGTGAAACGATGAATGTATTGATTTTACAATGATGTGCGTTTTTTTTTTTTTTAAATATTTTTTTGTGTCTTTCATCACGTTTTATGACAGTAAAAGTGCTTGGATGTTCTTCAACAGTATCTCTTCTGATAGGAAAGTGAATCTAGTTAGTACTTAGGGGGGTCAAAAGTAAAAATTTCCCAGTAGTTTTCACAAGCGCCGGGAAAAACAACATAAAAATTAAGGAAAACGGGAATTTTTACGCAAAATCGGTTTTCCAAAAATTCGATTTTGGTTTTTGGTGTAACTCTAAAACAAATGAACGTATATACGTGAAATTTTCACTGGTTGTTTATATTTGCATTTTCTATACACGGTAACATTTTCAAAATACAGTAGATTCTTAATATGTCGAACGTCGCTATCTCGAATTTTTCGTTATCTCGAACTACTTTGAATTCCCCTTGAAACTACTATTACACTTAATAGTGTTTTGCTCTCGATAACTCGATATAAAATTAATCGTTTTTCGTTATCTCGAGTTCACAAATAATATTTTTGTTACGGTTAACATAGGAATTGTCATTTCAGTATTTTAATTATTCAAATTTTAGTCTATTTTAGTCATTCGTATTATTTATTTTTCATATACATTATACAACATACATTTATATTAGTTTTTTTATTATTCAAATTATGTATTTTAGGCATTCGTATTATTTATTATTCATATAAATTATACAACATACATTTATATTAGCTTTTTTATTTTTTGATAAAACTCGATATCTCGAACTTTTTTCTGTTCCCCTTGAGATTCGACATAACGAGAATCTACTGTATTTTGATTTATTTTGAACTGTTTAGGGACATTTTCATTTTCCATTTTTTTTTAGTTTTTTTTTTTTTTTTAAATCAATTAAATTTTATTTATTGGTTGCGAAAGCTTGAACATTTAATAGAAGGCTCCTAGTATATTGTTTCAAAGGCAGATGAAAAATATTAAAAATCCTTGGTCACAATTTTTTTTATAATCATTTAAAGTTCAAAAGTTGACAAAATATGGAAAAATCACGTTGAGTGAGTTATTTTGAGTTAAGAATTCGTAAACATTTTTCTTTTTAAATCTAAGATTTTAAAATGTAATACAAGATTCCTTATAAGGTTATATACCTTTATCAAAAAAAAAAATTCTATAAGAAAATCAAATTAAATTTTTATGAGCGTTTGAAATTCAAATTTTTACAACATTGGATATTCACTCGATTTCTCATGTGACGTTTTCCTTATTTTGTTGTACTTCAAAAACGAATAACTGTAGATACATGAAAATTTCACTGATTGTTTATATAAGAATTTCCTATACACCATACACTTTTGAAAATATTTTGACTCTTTTTGAGCTGTTTACGGACATTTACAGCTTTCAATTTTTTTTAGTTTTTTTTTTCTATAAATATTAATTAAGTTTTATCTGTTGGGCCAAAAAGTGTAAAACTTTAATACAAGGCTCCTGATATATTGTTACAATAGCAGTTGAAAATACATAGGCACAGTTTTTTTTTTATAAGAATTTAAAGATCAAACTTTGACAAAATTTATCAAATTTAAAATTGAATAATTATTTTGCAGTTAAAAATTTATAAAATGTTCAACTTTTATATCTAAGGATTGAAAATTTAAAACAAGATTCCACGTAAGTAGTTAATTCTGACACAAAAATTCTAAAAAATACAGAAGCACAGTTTATTTTTATATTCATTTTAAGTTTCAATTAACCTAACCATAAAAAATCTAGAATAACTATTTTAGTTATTTTGTTGTGATTGTATAATATTATTCGTGGGTACTAGAAACTTCTAAAGTACACTATTATATATCTATGATAGTATCAGGGTTTGTTGTTTATGTATAACGCGTTATAAGTACCTAATGGATATTGTGATATGATTAATTTGGAATTTATTATAGGTAAATTTTTTTTAATACCATAGATTAGTATATAATAATATGTCTTTTACCTTACCTAGTTGAGTCCTTACCCCTACAGTCTCCGCTCAGAATCGTTTTTCTTATACAATGATATTATATCATTGAATTCAAATTTAATACCATCCATTATACAGTGACCCATTTGTAACCTACTGTACAGCAGAGCACCTTTTTTGTTTTGTTTTGAATTAAATTCACAATTTATGTGAAAAATCAAAAGTACATTTAGAAATAATTGAAGTTCTTTCATCGTTTTGAAAAAATACACAGTGTATGATATACTTCTCGAAATTCTAGAAAACCAAAGATAGAAATACGCCATTTGGAAATTCAAGAGGATCTTCCGTAATTACAAGTGGTAGTACCTATGTATGTGTGTGTATGAGCACATATTGTTTTGTATGAGTTGAGTGGTATATCGAGCGGGATGAATCGATTTATCCGACAAAGGAGAAATAAACTATAAATCTCAAATCTATTTAAAAAAAAAACAAAAACCTTGTACACGCATCATCTAAGGACTTGTATGTAGTGTAAAATACTGTATATCGAAGTCAAGTTATCGGTGACGGGCTGCAGTAGAAAATAGAAGGAACATAAGCAGTAAAGTTCGGTTAGAGAATTGTTGGAGCATTGTGCGTGGGCGGAAAAATAAAATAGGAATAGCTTATGGAGGGAAAAAACGCGTTTGGTAATAATACAACACATGGGGCCGAACAGATTTTCTGTTAAATATTGTATTTATTAAAATAATGTATTTTAATCTATTGGAACAAAACAATTTACATATGACGTCGCAAACCACGCCACTAAAATACAAGACTAGTGTCTTTATTCAAATTCATATTGCCTGTTTAAAATTATTTCTCGTTCTCAAAAGGTCAATGACGATTGACGAACACTTTTCCTCTCAAAAATACATTTTGAATATAGAAAATTTTAAAGTCAGTCTTAATTAAAACATAAAATATTAATAGGTTCATTTCAAATATAAAATACCATAGGTACCTACACTATAAGTCATTACGTATTTAGTGAATATAATTTTCCCTAAATAATAAATACACTTCATTTTTAAACAATTAAATGTTGATTATATATTTATATGATTTTATTTTAAAACATTTGTAACAACAATTTTTCAAATTTTGACATTTATAAGTTTTAGATTTTCACTAACATTCTTATTATATAACACGAAAACGATGTCGAGGAAAAAAATTATTTTATTTCCTGAACGTCGTTCTTAGACATACAAACTTTTTTACTCCTAACTACATTATAATTTAAAAAAAACTTTTAAGCTAAATGACAGTCACTGCACTATTACTAATACTTAATATTCATGTGGTACACAATGTTTAATCTTTAGTAGCATTGTTTTATAACTAATATTGTACAATAAATTATTAGTTTATTACAATATAATATATATATATACATAATCTATTATACAATTAAAACTAATACCTACATATTATTAAATTTTTATCTTGAGTACAAATAATTAGCTTATTACATATTATTATATTAATCTCAATCGTTCTATTTATTAATTTAGGCATATAAATAATAACCAAATTAAGCGGTTAGCGTTGTTCAAACATTTAAAATATTCAAGTCTAAAATGCTTAGGTAAATTAATGAAATAGTACCAGGATATAATTAATTGAACAGTAAACAAAGATTAACAGGGAAATGTATTGATTTTACTCATATAACATTTACAACACACATATAATAATGCGCAGGTAACAACAATATATTATGTTCGAATGTTCGATACGTTGTTTTGTTAAAGTTCCGAAATAATAATGTTTACAGACTTACGGTTACGAAAAATATTGCAAGCTGTCAAAGTTTGCAGTTAATATGTTCACTCGTCGGACGTGTACAATGTAATTTCATCAGTTTTCGAATGCGTGAGACATTGTTATAACACAAACTCGGAAATAAAATATGATCGATACACAGTTATGCGTTCGCGTGCACATAATATAGGTACGATATTTTAATTCTAAACGCAAGCATATAATACGATAATATTTGCTACGAAGCGTTTTTAAACGAACGACGTCTGTTTTTGAAATCGGGATGGTAAATTTTCAGAAATAATTAATAATATTATGTTAGTAAACATTTAGTATGCCTATATTTTATGCCGTCGAGATCGTGGCGGCACATGTGCACGTCTGGACACAAATAATAAATCATGCAATACGTCATATTATTATTATTATAGGGCAAAGGACGGCGCGGATTCGATGACTGGTAGTGTATAATGTAATATTAGTATAGTCCATGTGTACCTATGATAGTTAACTCATAAGTCACAACAATTATATTGTAAATAAAATAATAAACTTATAGGCAAGAGACCCGCTTATACTACCCTTACTGCGGTGAAGTATTGTGTTCTTGGACTGATGAACATCAAACATTTGCAGTGACATTTGTGTGCTCGACAACCGTACTATCGCTATCATATTTATTATCGTCATTAATGTTACTATCAATCATTGTTATTGTTATATTGTTACTAAACTACGAAGTGGCGACGTCGATCCATTTGGTGTATTCCGATATTCTGGTGTACAGATCGGGGAAAGCCGGTTTGACCGCGCAGCCCGTCACTCCGTAACTCACCAGGCCGATCAAAACGTTTCTTCCCGATTCTCGTTCCACGGTCAGGGGGCCTCCGCTGTCGCCCTACAATGCAGTAAACACAAGAGTGACGTCACTATTTTGGCAACAGCTCACACGTAAATAACCCGCCGTTGGGTCATGACTAATTATATAGGTGGACATGGACTTCTCATTTCAGGTGCATCTAACAGCAAAAAAACCACAACAAATGTGACTGTGCATTTTTTTTTAAAGGCATAGTTTTTGTTTTTTTACTTCAGGTCTAAGGTATCTAGTAGCGATGAAATCAAAAAGTTCTATACAAAATTTGTATAGCAAAATAATATCAAGTGCAGCCGTGCAGTCGTGCAGACCATTTGAATTATATTTTATTCACCCGCACTAAAATGGATGTACTTTATACGATGGTGCCCAAATAAGTTAAGATCAGGAAAACCGGAAATAAAGCACAATAATGTGGTTCTGAGCCGACACTCGACTCCGGTTGGAAAAACTAGAAAACGGTTTGAAGTGAACGCTTGCTGCTCCAGAAAATTCTGCGCATTATGAGTTATGTTCTATGCTAATATGTATAGGTATCTATATCTATATTACTATAGTAAGGTACTGAATTTAGAACGCCATACAACGTATAATGTAACACCACGTAGAAAAAAAAAAGGTGTTAAAAATAAAAATATACTAGTGATTCAGTGTTCAAAGGGGTGCTTACTGCCTTTTGTAGTAGATATATTTCAGAACTTCAATTGTACAAAGGTCAAAGAGTATACATTTGAAACAAATATAATACATTATGATTTATGGTAAATATTAAAAAAATATTGAAGTTATTATAACTAGTATATGTATTATGTATTGTATTGTTTATTATTGGTATTCACATTTTGCTTTCAAGTATACTAAGTAAATTATATACTAAAATAAATGTGAGTCAATTGAATGGATCATACGACATACTTGACACATTATACAGTATAATAGTACATATATTTAATATTTAAATTTATAAACAGTATATTATGAAGTTTGAATAGGTACCTACCTATTTGTGGATGCAATCGCGTATAAATATTTAGAATATTTGAGTTTTAAAATGAATATTTAAAAAAATATTAAAAACGTGAAATAACTAATTTACTAAAGTTGAATAAATTACAAAAGTAATTTCATTGCAAAATTTACTTTACAAGGAAGAATTATACATAAATTAGTAAAAACAACATTAATGTATTTTACGAAAAATCTTGAAAAAAAGAAATGAATTACATTTTACATTAGATACTAAAATGGTAATTTGTAAACATAAATAATGCATTAAAAAAATTGAGCAAATAAAATAAATCCATGTTATATAAACACGTGTATTTAGACGAAAAAAATGAAATTAATATTTAAGTATAATATCATGTTAATCAAATATGTGTTAATTAAAAAAATTAAATAATATACAGCAAGGGGCGAGAAACCCGTTTTTTGTTGAAAAATCGTGATTGGAATGGTTTATACTTGGATTAACAACAGTAGTGTTAGGAATAAAATTTTAAATGAAAATAGAACCAATATAAGCTATAAATCAATAACCAAGGGATAAACTAGGGGATTTAATAAAATTAAAAAAAAAATTTTTTTGCTCTTCTACAACTCACTAATTATTAATTTATGCTCTATACTTTATTTTGTTACACCCAACAATAAAAAATCGTGTGAAAAACTCGAATATATTTATTTATTTATGGATTGCAAAGTAACAAGAACAAATGGGTGTGCAGTAGTTTGTACACTGCTACGTACGAAATTGAAATAATAAATTTATTCTTAATTTTAATTTTAGTTAACTATAGGTACCTACTATTGAACTGTAATAGCTAATAAGTAACATAGACTAGAAGTTAGTAGGTAAGCTGAGTTGTTATTAATATAAACCTATTCATATATATGTATGTGTTACCTATGCAATACGAATAACATAAAAAAAAACATTTATATTGTTTTAAGTTATAATAACCTTATCCAACGAAATTCTTTATTTTTGAGGTGAAGCCGATATTATTCATATTAAGAAATATTATTGAAATATGTAAATCGCAATTGGTGTAATAAATTATTTAATAGGTACTACCTATATTAAAATATATATACATATTATTTAATATACCTTTTTTTTTTATACTTTTTATAAGTCAATATTAAAGCGTTTCAAAGTGGTTTCTTTTTAACTTTATCTACTTTTCTTTTTTCATTAATATTGCATTGTATTTTATCACGAAAAGCTACTTTTAATTTAACAGTGGGATATCAAACTGTTTTTATGGAAATTGAAAAGATGATAATATAAATTCTTTTAGATTAATCAAATTATAAATAAGCAGTTACATGTATAATCTATATAACTTGGATACAGTTATTAAAATTCCCGTTAATTTAATCTTGTAGACTTATAATAAAATTGGAGTAGTATAATCTGTAAAAGATATAAAATAGTTTGATCTTGTTTTTTTTGAGACACAACTATATACATTTGTATTAGGTACTTGATGGTTTTTGTTTAAATCAATTTTTGAAACATATAACAACACTTTATAACAGTATAAGTGTATACCGCTTAAACTATTGTTAGGTTTACCTACTAAATATTTTCTTATTATAAAGTATATATTTGGAAATAAATTGAATTTATAAACGTAATGCTAATTTAATATGTTCTTCATGATGAAAAATGTCTTCGTAAAAAAAATCGGAGTAAAAACAGTGTTGGATACACATCGTCACATTCAACGTCATATTGGTTATAATATATTATACAAATGATATGCATTAAAAATGTCAGATGGTATACTCAGTTGTATTATACACAACTGCACAAGTTTTGTTTTGGAAGAAAAATCAGTAGGTACATATTCTATGGTCACATATATGTTTTTGCGGTCATCTCACTGCAGTGTTTGTAAATAACTTTTTTCTCAATCTCAATCTCAAGTCATCAATTTTTGTTCTATATAATGACGGTTTAAAAAAAAAAAAAAAAGTGTGGTCCTTTGATGATCCGTTAAAAGTATCAAAAATGTTGAAACGACTAAAAGAAATTATTGCTGCAAATTTGGCCAGAAAACACCCAGTGGCCTGCAGTACACTGCGCATACAATAAACAGGGTGCCTAACTATACGTAGGTACCTATATACGACCTACGTTCACACATTATGCTGTTAATCGAAAACACGATTTGAATAAAAAAGTCGTTATGTAAATACTAAACCGCGCCGGACGTGTGTGTCGACGCACATCAAACACAATAAACACCGCACGATAAATTATACAAAATTAGGGGTTTGGGCGTCGTGTTTGTATACGGGAAACCGCGCGTGGCCGGATCGGAAACGAAAATATTATGTACTAATGTTATAATATAATAATATGCATAAAACAATAGGCGTACCAAACGTTTGCGGGCGTTTAATATTAACAATAATGTATATCGCGGTGGGACATTCCGCAATGATGGTTCTGTTATTTGGAATTATTGAGTGTATCGCGCATTGTGAAAATACGGTACCAGCTATATTTAGGTATAATATGTATATGATATGGTGATTATTATTGGGTCCCCGAATTGTAATATTTGTGCACTGTTCAAACGTTTATGCGCTTATTATCTGCATCGTTAAAATATTCTTATGTCGAATAAAACTTATTTGCATATTAGAATTAAAATGGAAGCAGCGAGTAATGTAGAAACAGTCGTCTGCCTGACTGCGTGTATACGAATTCGTAGGTAGGTTTCGTCGACGCGAGCGGACATTAATCGATTAGCCAAAATTATATCACCGAATCGAGTGAAAATAATCAAAATGATATATTATTATTTATAGTCGGTTAATATACTGTCAAATTGTGTAAGTAAATATTAAAAAAAAAAAAAATTGTCAATGTAGACAATATATTGTTTTTTAAATGTTGAAATTTACGTAGGTACTAGATAGCACATGCAATTTATGTGTAAAGGAGATTCATCAAGCATATCCCCCCCTTTTTATTCTTCAACAGCACAGTTAAACAAAATCTGGTTTTTGGAATTGTTAAAAAATAATTATACTTGAAGAGCATATATTTTTAAATTCTTGAGATTTTTTAATCCTACCTAATAAAAAAGTGCCCTGAGGAGATAAAAATTTCTGTTTTTCAAACTTGAACATCCTTTTTTACTATAAATTATATAATGATTGTTAATATTATTATTATCATAATCAAAATTTATACGAGTAGTGTCTTAACTCTAACTTTGTTTACTAAAACCATGATAATGGATTTAGATGATTTGCGGGCTACAGTGATATTGAAATTTTAGTAATTAATATTTACTTATCAACATTTATAATTTGTAAATACATAAATTTAATAAATACTAGATCCATATTACATCTATTTTATATTCTTGTAAAATCATTTTTAAGGACTATATTGTTTTAGTATGAGCAATGAACATGAACATTTTAATAACTGAGAAACTACTGCTCTTTTGATTTTGAATTATTTACATCATCATTTTCAATAAAACAATGTAATAAATATTTTATAGTAGAAAAGGGGGTTCTCATTTGAAAAACAGAAGTTTGTATCGCCTCAGGACACTCCTCGAGTATAGTAAAAGAAATCTTAAGAATTTGAAAAAATGGTCTTGAAGTACCTAGGTATATTTAAAAATTCCAAAAATCACATTTCGAATAAATTCATCATTATTAAATGAAAAAATGACGGCAAGTATGCTTGGTTAGCCTGGAGTATATGATGAAAAATTTTCCAAATTCCTACCCAATAATAAAAACTTGGAGCTCGGCTAATATAATAATATTAAACTCGGATTGAAGTGTTCAACTAGCATACGTACATATATACGTTTTAAATCAATTAATAAAAATATGCAAAAATTACATTAAGACACTATATTTTATCAAGTGCACCGGTGGCCGTCTTAGACCGGTTAGAGTGGTCCTGCTGAAACGCGCAGCAGTGCACATGACATAATAATTATTATGATAAACACACAATGTATAGTAAATCGTAAATGACGTGATGTATTATGATTGCGTATTATAATATGTTATAACTTATGTTATTATTATTATGTCGTGAATATTATCGTCAACTATACTTACGAAGCACGTCCCTTGCAACGACGGCGCGGCGGCGCACAGCATGCCCAGACCTACGTGATCGTCGATGACACGGGAACACTGGAAGTTTGACAGGACTTCCACGGAGAGTTTCTGCAGCGTGGGACTTGGGTCGCCTGTCGGGAATCCAGTGATCCCCCATCCCACGACCGTGCCTTTTTGGCCCACATACGAGTCACCTGATGTATTTGTGCGCACATAATATGAAATATAGAAAAAGTTTTATATAATATTATTATGTAAAAGACACCGAGCTTCAGAAGCGTATTATAATATACAGGGTGATATTTTTATCTGTGAACACTCATTATTTCAAAAAGTATTAATGTTTAAGAAAATATTTTCTTACATAGTTTCAAGTTGTTAAAAAACAATATTTTTTATCCTTTTAATCTTTTAAGTTTTTTACTTTTTTGAATGACAACATGTAATTTTAATTTGATATTCAAAAACAGAATATTTTTCTGAGTATTTCGATACATAAAAATTGAATTTAGGGCAATTAGTTTATGAGTTATATGTATTTAAAGTATTGATGAGCGGAGTAGAGTGGTACGGGGTTACCCCGCGAAATGTTTGTCCACTACTCCGCTCATCTAAACTTTAAATACTTATAACTCATAAACTACTTGCCCTAAATTCAATTTTTATGTATTAAAATAATCAGAAAAATATTCTGTTTTTGAATATCAAATTAAAATTACATGTTGTCATTCAAAAAAGTAAAAAAATTAAAAAATTAAAAGGATAAAAAATATTTAAAAATATAATTTTTTAATAAAAATATTGTTTTTTAACAACTTGAAACTATGTAAAAAAATATTTTCTTAAACATTAATACTTTTTGAAATAATGAGTGTTCAATGATAAAAAAATCACCTTGTATAGTTGTGTTATACACGTCATTATATACCTATGTTGACATGTTGTGTGCACTCGGGTTTGTACGAAAGCGATGGTACTAACTTAAAACGTATAGCACTATAATATAATATAGCCTATATAGATATATAAAGTCGTATAATATTATTATTATCTACGTTTTTATGGCGTGGTATTTACTATTTTATAATATAGGTACCGATTCATTCAACAGAAAACGCTCATTATTGTCTCGGTTGATTTTTGAGTTTGTTAAATAGAAAAAGGTGTGTGTACCGCGCTATATTTTTCCTTTTACTATGTTAATTATATTTAGTTGTTATAGGTAGTTGCTTTAAATGACACAAACATGTAGGTATATATATATTTCTTTTCTAAAACAAAAAATAGACTCAAATGATTTTTGTTCTAAGTAGTATGTTTAAATATCTATCTTTGAATGTCTTGTATAGCTAATGTTTTTGTTACTATATCAAATTTTATTATTTTAACGTAACAACACAATACGAAATTATACCGTTCGTTATTTAATTACTTTAAATAGTGTATACTGTATATACACAATAAACGCACACGACGTATTGATTTAAACAAGCTCCATGTATGCACAAAGCTTAAACGCATCTTATTGCAGTATTTGAATATAGTTTTGGTCGGTATAAGTGTATAACCGTTAACAAACAGTGAACAATAGTTATTATAAGTGTGAATAATATTCAAAATCTAACAATTTTTTAGCGTTAGATTTAGTATGATTTTGTTACGACAAATTTCGATCATTCCCCGAGTATAGGAACTCTGAATTAGTGAAATGGATGGATTAGACTATTATAGACAAAAAATCTGCAGTTATGTAACTGCATGATCCACCGATATCAATGTTTTACGGTCAAAGATAATTAGTAATTACATTTGGTACCTACCTAATATACTTGATTTATGAATATTGAGACTTACAGTTTTACTATAAAAAAGATAGTAGGTACCTAGAGCAACAAACAAAATTATTGTGAAATACCTATTTTACGTAACTCCAAATTTTTCATCTTTTATCGACACTGGCCCGTGGGGACATGCAACTATGAAAATATTATTAACTAATTTTAATCCCTAGGCATTATATAGAATCAGCTCAGCTCATTGTTCGTCTTAAAAACATGTTTTCCTATTCCAAGCACTGTTTGGATGATACAATACACCGCAATTCCGGACGGGCCACCACTGCAACTTACTGCGTATACACCTATATGTATAGATGATAGTCATACAAAATAATATGTATCGTGCGTGTATTATATAAGTAACTACCTATATATAATATATAGGTATATGTTATACGTGTATGAGCAGTGAGTGGTATTGATCAGACGCGCCAGTTGTTATATTTTTTGCCACATGTTGACGACGACGACGACGTCGACGTACTATATCAATATATAATATATTTTATTCAATATAATGTGTGTGTGTGTGCATCTTGACGACGTGACACATAATATACGTAGGTATACTGCTACTGCAAACATAACCCATGGATTTTCATCGAGATCGTCATGGGTGTCACGTCGTCATGGTTATAGATTTGAGAACATAATTTTACAATGCGTCTATTTCCTGGCCACATTAAACATGTATAAATATACCTACTACCTAAAATGTCGATAGATATTAGCGGTTGCCCATTATTAAAAATTACTAAAACCGATTGGTCAAAGTCTCTAAATATTTAAAGCATTCACGTGATTAACTATTTAGGCTTGCTTTAATTTAGTGATGTGTATCACTCAATATTTTAATTTAATAAACCTAATATTATATCGCTGTGTGTGTGTAATTCTCAATCCCTATTTTGTTTATCCAATGATCATAATTTATTAGTTATGAGTTATGATTTATGATTTATTACCAAGATAAAAATAATACTCAAATGTAAAGGAAAAAAACCGGCCAAGTGCGAGTCCGGCTCGCGCACGAAGGGTTCCGTACCATCATCAGCTATGTTGGCAACACTGCTAATATTATATATTCTAGGATTTTTTAGTATTGAGGAGAAGTAATGCTAACGCGGTTCCTCCTCCGTCCCTTGATTAACTCGAAAAAAAAACATTTTTAGTATTTCTTGTTATAGCATCCACGGAAATACAGAATCTGTGGAAATTTCAACTTTCTAACTTTCATGGTTCATGAGATACAGCCTGGTGACAGACGGACGGACAGCAGAGCCTTATTAGTAATAGGTTTCCGTTTTACCGTAAGAAACCCTAAAAACGTGATTGATAATTTACATTTTAGTGTCCAGAAGGACAAATTAGTTAATATAAACAAATTGAAAATACATTGGATACGTCATACAAGTAATTAGATTATATTATAGGCATTATTATAATTTAAAATAACACGTATAGTGTATAGTGCAGTGGCTTTAAAACTGGGTGCTGTCAACTATTCGTCCAAGAATAAAATTATAAAAATTTGTTGGCCCGTCAAGCACACATTTCTAATTAAATGTACTTATATAATTATAATTCAAAGCAATTTTATTCATCTATAATTTATTAAGGGGTATGCATACCGACCGTTTCTAAGGAGTTCGGTATAGGCAATTTTCTAATGGTGTGCATGCGGGTCGTGTAAATGTGTGCGTAGTAAGTGATTATTAGTGTGGGTGACTGTGTATAAAATAAATAGTGGAGCACACCCGCACGTGCACACACATGTCATTAGCGGAACATTTTACACACTAATTACAAATGTGAATTTTAGTGAAACACTGAAACTTAGTTTCGTATTTCCAATAATATAGCTTACTGAGTGACATTACAGTATGAACACCTATTATACAAATTGAAGAGAAGGAGTTTATCTAGGCTTGTATAGGAGTCGATTTTCGATATTTTATTTTCAATGTCCAATATTTAACTCTAAAACTTATGATATTTTACTTTTTGAATTTGAATTATTGAGTTTAGTAATTACAAATATTAAAATTTGACTTCCATACAGGCACAGATTAACTTCTCTTCTACAATATTGATAATAGGTGTTTTTACTCTCAAACCACTTAATAAACCATATTATTGGAAATACAAAAGTACATTTTTATAGATTTTTTCAATACTATTCATACCCCTTAAGTGCAAAAAAAAGGTCAGTGTGCCGTGAACATTTTTTGAGGAGCACGGTGTGCCGCGTTCAATAAAAGTTTGAAAACCACTGGTAAGTGTATGCATATAATATTATCTCTGGTCTTAGGTTTTTCCCAAAATGTGATGATTTGTTATTGTAATGAATGAGATGGTCTTATAACTGACGAAAACAAGGAACAACCCATCAAAAGGTAAATTGTACGAACAATTTGATACTGACTTCAGACTGAAATTGCAGAAATATACACAGTTGACAAAAAGTGGCTGATACCACTCATTTTATATGCATAATGATAAAATCAATACTGACCCATACTGGAATTATCGACACTGTCTGCATATAAATTATAATTATCTATACGAGGCTACGTTGTCTTGATTATTGATATACCATTAGTCAGGTACAACATATAATTATACTATGCAGAATAATTTACCAAGTATTTTCACCCCTATTTTTCCATTTCATAATGATTTAATTCAAAATCAGGTTTTTAGAATTTGTTAGAGTATAGGTAGGTATATATTAATTTTCTTGGATTTGTTAATGGTTATCACACTACAATCCTTATAAACGTTATGAATAAAACCCAAGTATTTGACAATATGGTCCATAAGTGAAGGTGCTTTCAAGGTAAATTCCAATAGTAGGAACTTGAAGAAATCTACTACTAAAGAAAAATGGGGGTGGGCATGTTGGGTGCAGAATCACCCTGTATAATATATTCGTCACACGGCCTCAGAAAATTAATATCATAGAAATATAGACTACACTACTAAAGTATTTAAAAATGTTTATAACATACTTATACTATTATACATAGATAGTAGATACCTATAATAAAAGTTATATTGATACCCAGTGGCGGATTTTTTATTTTTTAATGGTGGGTGCTGTGTTGATAATAAAACTCTTTAGGTAAGTATATACTTGTCATAAACAGCACAACTTCGGGGTGAAAACAAATTTACCCTATTTTTGGTATTAGTTTACAATTAATACGTTTGTTCTACGTGATACCTGAAATCTAAATAACTTATAAAAAAAAAATTTGATATGTGGAACAATGTGTGCTTCGGCTCCCAAGCCAGCCCCAACCCGCCCGCCAAATCCACCACTGTTGATACCGGGCATTGTATTGTGGACAACTACGTAAATATAGCGAACGTCCGACGTTTACACAGAAACTCCGTGATGTACACAATTTATGTGAGTATTAGAATTTATCCATTTCGGAGTTGTATTGAAGCACAATAATGAAATTTTTACAATCTCGATTTAATTCCATGTGCAACTTATATGTACGGCGCACAGTGTAATATATTATTATTATACGCGTATTTTCCGGCGGATTAACTACACGCGAAAGCGCATTAACAACACCATTAAAAATGTTTTTCGCATAAAAAAACTAAATAAAAGCACACATGTACATAAATCGTAAAATCCAATAATATAGGTTATTGCAGTTTTATAGGCTTTTGCGTAACAGTTGATGATACAATATGCAGTGTATCAACCAGTATGAAATTTACAGCAGCTGATGGATCGCTATCACCGTGGTGATGTATAATACATCATTATTTATCATAATTCATAATATTATTCACCAATCTCACGCTGAGGCCCTGTAGCTTTAGACCTTTTCTTCAAGAGTGAGAACGCGATAAAGAAATAATTAGATAATATTATAATATATTCGTGCAATTTACACGATTGTCGAAAAACCAATGTACCAAGTGACATTACTAATATAATTACTTTTTCATAACATTTCAACTTCAGTGGATTCTATATTTTAACCGAATGGTTTTGAGAAAAAATAGGCGGGTCCTGATCCAACCAGAAATACTAGCACTACACTGATTTGAAAGACTTGGTACAAACTTTGAATTGATAAAATATAAATCGTAAGTATATCAATGTATTACAATATCAAGTAGAAAATGCAATCATGAGTATTACATAGCTGTATAAAATATATTTGTTCGACGACTGCTTTTGTTTTATATTTTATATAAAATGAGAAATTAGCAGTTTATTATTGGAAACGTCGTGTGACTACTGACAAGTGCAACATGTACGAAAATCCTGTGTGATTGCACAGTACGACCAAAATTTATTATAGCTAGGTTCTATTAATAATAATAATAATAATAATAATGACATGATTTATAGCATACCACAATACAGAGTGTTCAAAAATTACCTAACGTTAGATATTTTTGTGAAATGACCTCTGCAGATTCGAATCGTCAAACTAATAATAATATAAGGTGAAAACGCTGTATTATACATTTTGGGGAAAATTTAAATTTTGAATATGGTAATTTGTTCGTTTTTTTACCTATGTAATTAAATCAAAATTTTAACTAATAGTTCATGAGTTATTAAAGTATAAAGTATACTTACCATAATTGATAGGTTAGAGATATGGTGGCAATGATTATTTGAAAACTATAATAATTAATACTATTCTATAAATATTTTATAATTTTTAATAATTTGTCCGAGTGAATAACTAGGTAATTATAAGTAGTAAGTGCCAGGTGCCTACTACACTAAGTACCAATTACATCCATTTTATATTTAATATATTAAACCATAGTTATGGAGTTTAACCTTGGGTAGGATTAAAGTACAAAGTTAAAATCACAAAGTTTAACAACTCAAAAACTACTAGTTTGAATTTAATTTTAGTACATTAACTTTTTCAAAAAACCATTTGCTTAACAATTTACAGTAAAAATATGGTTCATATTTGAAAAAAAAACCTTGTAGGACACTCATTTATTCCTTATAGTATAAAAAAAATCTTATTATTTTCAAATATTATGTTCCTTATTAAGTATGGGTATTTTAAATTATAAAAATCAGTATTTGAATAAATTAATTTAATGCATATTATTAAAGGATAACAGGGACCATGGTTGGTGAATAACGAATGTATAGGTACAGAGAAATCCATTTGGTTGTGTTGTATCATGTATAAATGCATAATATATAAAAAATATTATAACTATAATATTAACGTGGTTAAGTAAACACTAAACAATCATTTGCAATAGGTACAATACATGTAATATGATTAAATATATGTAGTACAAATAGTACAATAACAATTAACAATTAGTATAATTTTAAGCATAGTCAGTACCTAAGTATAATGTAATTAGGTTAAATTTAATATCAATATTATCGTTGGTGCTTCTATATTTAAGTAATATGTAAAAACAGAAGGAGGGTCAGTTGGCGGTGGTCGTGTGACTCGACTACCACTGACCACCAGTGTTAGAGCCAGGTGGTGATCGTGTGTCTCGAATCTCGATCGCCACTGGACGTAAAAGTTGTAATAAAAGTGCTTAATTTATTAATTGTTCGTTTATTTGTGTACGTTTATCATCGGCGTATACGACTGTTGGCTACACTAATTTGTTTAGTCAATGCTTATGATGTTTTTGAACAATGGTTATCCACCGATTTGTAAGTTCAATTCACACCAGCTGTTATTAAAAAGTTCTTGTCGTAATCCACTCGTTGTATAAATCGACAGTGAAAATTACACTGCAGTCGGTTTAATACAGAAATGTACCACTACTCGGGTTTTTATACCTACATATTATTATTATATACCTACTGCCTACTATTGATGATTATTTTAAAAGGAATAACACTCATTATTATTTCAAACGTTTTTTTAAAATATTTTTTTTTACATAATTCTAAATCATTACAAAACAACGTTTTTAATTTCATAATAATATTCTTGAGGCAAAATATTTTAATATTTTAAATACGTTTACCTACTTATAGATAAATACCTATGTATGTACAAAAATACGTTGTCAACTAATCGTTTAAAATTCTATTAAAAACATCAAATTTCTCGGGAATAAAAAATATGTAAGAGCCAAGAGCAGAAACAGATTCTCAATTGTTGTACATACCTAAAATAGATGAGATATGATATTAAATCCAATAAACTGTGTAGAATATGAAACAATATAACTAGGTACGTGGCATGACAAAATAGATGGGTATCATCACAGTTTATTGATACGAATCCTCCATTCTTTACTTCACCTATATCGTAGTTCTCCGCTTATTATTGGCTGTCAATCATATACGCACATATTACATAATAATATATATATAACATTGAAAAAAATCAACGAATCAGAAGTGAAGAACTATGACATTGGCCGAAGGCTATATTGAAAAAAAACTATTACAAATGTGCTGATCCGAACTTATCAATTTTGTCTTGGGGTACAAGGTACCTACAATAACTTCAGATTACGTTTTGTAAGGGATAATTTCGTCTTCATGTTATAGTAGCTATTTTTATATTTGTAAAATTGTTTTGCGTCTCAAGAAAATCATCTAGCCGCACCAGTGGCGTCCGCAGGGGGAGGCTAACGGGCTGAAGCCCCCCCCCCATTGCCCGTATTATTATTACTTTTTCAAAAAAATATTATTCAAGTTTAAACTGTCAACTATAGTAAATCTCATATATGTCTTACCGGAATGAATTCATTTTTGAAAAAACATTGTATTTGCATACCAATTTTCATTATTATCTGTAATTTGTCGGTAAAAGTATTTATATGAAAGACCTTGTATTAAATTGTCTAGCCTTAGATATACATATTTTATATTTTATAAATTTTGAACTACAAATTAACCGTGGTTTTGACGAAATTTGAACTTTAAATGCTTATAAAAAATAACCATGATGCCTATATGTATTGTTAATATTTTAGCTATAATAAAAAAACTTACGTATTACATTTTTAAGCTTTTTGACCGGATAGATAATTTTTTATTGACATTTATAGAAAAAAAATTTTAATTAATCAAATACAATCCAAGTTAAGACGGTATAACCAGGGTTGTTACCAAACAATTTAAATTCATTTTTTTTCTCCAATTATTTTTAAAAGCACTAAGAACTTTTAATTTCGACCTCCTAAAAGTACTAACCAGATCCAATTTGCTTCCAAAAACATACACTGGGCATCGAAGCTTATGATCAGAGCATTTTTTCCACCAGAAGAGTTGAAAAGTTACAAACATTTTAAAATACCCCGAATAAACGTCTGCAATTATTAGACTGGACAAAATAAAAATTAAATTGTAACTAATTTTCAAGCCCCCCCCCCCCCCCCCTATTGAAAAATCCTGCGGACGGTACTGAGCCGCACCAATCTAGGCTCTCAAGCCATGGTTTGGCCACCCCTGCTGTACATTGTATATTATTATATTATATGTTTATATCGGTATATAATCATTATGCTGACACTACTCACCGTCGGCGGACGGCATGCACACGGGCCTGACGGTGTCGCTCGCGGCGGCCGGCCGGTCGAGTTGCAGCAGCGCTATATCGTTGGCCAACAGGAACGGATGGAAATGAGAGTGGAACAGCACGCGAGACACTTTCCGCGCCTGGTGTTCAGTTTCGTTGTCCGCGGTCAGGTCGTAGTCACCCAAGTGCACCGTTAAGTCGTCCATCGGCGTGTCGCGCCTACTTGTCGGATAAAAAAATAATTATTAATATTATAATACCAGCTATTATTGTCATATTTTGATTTTCGGCGTTTTAACAATGCATTGTGCACATAATATTATTATTGCGGCATAGGCGCGAGATCTTCAATGTTCAATTAAACAATAACGAAATCTGGGATCGGAAGACGTGATAGTTCTTGAAGTCAAGATCGATAAATATCCATGTGAATATAATATATTGAGCACACATAAAATATCTAAAATATGGACAAAATAATTGTACTAAATATGCAAAAAATATTTTAATACCCAACTTATTATTAATTATGAGTTAAACAGAAGTATATATTATATGATAATTGTATTACTATTAAAAACTACGTGATCCTTCCGCGTGACAAATTAAATACAGTAAAATGGGGTAACTTTGATAAATTTGTACCGTTTTATTACAATTTTACTTTTTATTTTATGGATAACTTCTGTAGTATTAACGATAAAATTCCAAAAATTAAATCTTAGTTATAGCTAATTATCCTCAATTGTTTAACATTTAAATTTTTAAATTTCTGATGTTATCTTCTGAGGTATTAATCTTTTTAAAATGCTATCAAAGTTACACCACGTTGTGGGCAACTTTGATACCAGCATTTCGTAATGTGTTATCAAAGTCACCCCATTTTATGAAAAAAATATTAAATTGTCGTGGTACTATGGTGAATAAAAATATCATATTATCAAAGTTACCCCACGAAATCAAAGTTACCCCATTCAAAAGAAAGAGGTTTTACCTTGCAGTCATAAACTCCGTTAAATGTAGACTACCCTATATATATATTTTAACACAGTAATTTGAGTTGTTTTGACCAAGTATACCTATATAAAATACAGTTCTAAAATAATTTACAATTATAATAAATTATAATAACTATTTTATTTTATGTAACCAATGGCAACCCTATACAAATAAATAAATACTCGTCTTTCGTGATCCAACAATGTCTGTGAGTACCCCTCTTTAAAATGCTAAATTTCATAAATAGGCTCCGAGGTGCACATCCTCGGGCATAGGATTACCTATGCACAACATTTCCGAATCATGAGTACGATAGGTTTGACAAACACACACTGCAGACATTGCCTTTTACTAATGTAGAAGATAACAGCTTTAATATGAATAAAATGAAACGAAAAGTGGTTGGTTAAAAATAATAATACGTCACTGTAACAAAACATGGCTTGTAAAAATTAAAAAAAAAAATAATATCAATTTATTATAATGGAAAAACGTTTTTTGCCACTTTGCACAAATCTTTAGAAAAAAAAATACCTTCGTTAAATAATTGAGTATAAAATATGTGGCACAAAGTAATAAAAGACATTTTTTTGGAAAATATTACAAATTATATGTACCTATGCATAAAAATACAGAAAAATTAAGATATTTCAGTTTTACTCCAAAATATACGAAATATATATGCAAAATACGAATTTTAATAAATTATCGTCTTTAATCTAATCGTTGTATACCTATATGTCCTATATTGAGTTTCTATCTTGGTCTGTTATAAAGACACAAACACTTCTGAGCTCTATTGATGATAATACTCATACCTACAACAATATATGTAGATCACAATAATATTATAATATATTATGTTGGTACCATCGCATTACGGTCGATATTATATCATTATTATAATATATTATATTACCCGACGGTTGTATTAACAGGATGCCGGTATACATTTTTTTGTTTTTGGACGTTAGTACGAGTACCCGTAGGTTATTATAATAGTCCCACCGGGGCAGCCATATTTTTTTCATTTGGTGAAAAACAAGGTCTTTAGTATTAATACTTTCTGATGTCGTTTGTGCTTAAAAACAAGCCACGTGTATAACACTATTTGTCTTAAACTTTTCAGTACAATAAATTCATCGGAAATACAATCATTTTGATGTGTTTTAATTATTGTCAGTCTTTGGGTTTTTAAACATTAACTTATGATGAAATTGGTTTTTTAATTTTTTTACAATATAGCATACAAATTGCTAGTATTCACTATTTGGAAAGTGTTACTTTTTTTGTTAAAAATAATGTATGTACCTACCTATGTTTATTGTATAAGCTATATTGATCCCGTGAGTAAGTAAGTTGTATTATAACGATGACACTTGTGTGTTTATGAGTCGATGATGTAGATTAAAATAATGGGTTTACTTGAAACTCTGCATGAAAAATCTATATTTATTTTGTTTTGTCTGACATGAAAATTCGAATGTTATACCAACCGAATTTTTGTGTATGGAAACCGTATACGTCCTAAATCTGCCACTAGACGGTGGGTATATGTATAAATTGATAAAGGTTTTCTCCCCGTTTGTAGGTCGGACGTTTCCCTTCGGTGATTTCGGCGGAAGTTGAAAAAATAAATATTGCAACGCAGTGATGTTGTATTGCTTCAGCTTATAATATAAACGCGGAAGTTTTAGTACCTAGGTAGGTTTATGTTATGAGCGCTCTAGTGATGTCAAAATCAATCCACATAATTGGCAAATCACATAAATTACTATTTGACGTCCCAAACGTGTTGGTACCTTAACTTAATGACGGTCGCGACCCAAAGTAATTTAAATATTTCTTCAAAGTCGATTGGCGGCCGAGCAATTTAATCATCAGCCGGATTATATGACCTACGACAATATTATGTTATGTTTAAAAATATTGGTTTTTTTGTAAGTACTTAATCCCCAAAGTTAAAATGCACACAATTATATGTTAACATAACAGAGATCGGTGGGCCTGTACCGATTTATTTAAATAATTGGAATGCAGTTATGCATTGCCACATGCTACTTACTTTGCTTTAAACAATTTTGAGAATTAGTTTTTATTAAATGTGTTTATAAAATCGATAGGTTAAATAAAACAAATAACATTATTTTATGTTATTCTGGTAAAGGCACAGTAGCCCTAGGCATATAATATATTATATCGAAGAACACCGTGGTAAAATCCCATTATAATAAATAGTTTACGTCGATGCGTGAAAAAATGCGATGCACAGTTATTTATAATGGTCGCACTGTGTTCTAGGTATTATAAGTTTCATATATTATGCCATTATGGCAATATCCGGGTGTCACTTTATGGACTGATAGAAATGTATGAATTATGTTATGACATTTTGTGTTTCATGTCTTGTGTTTGTAGGTAATAAAAGAGGTATAGAGCTGGACTGCAGCGTGCACATCGATGACGTTGGTCGTCGGGTCAGTTGGGAAAAATTAAAAAGTTAATAATAATAATTGTTTACTTTCATCGGTCATGACGTTTTTTACGGCTGGTTAATTTTGTTAACCGTCTCCCTGGAAACTGAATTTTACTGTCCCAATATGCATGCAAAATAAATATTATGTGTAATATATATAATATGTATAATGGGTGTTTAAATATTTTCACAAAGATAAAACTTTTTTTATAGTTCTAAAAGTCTATCAATAATATAATACAATAACTATAACCATACATTTAATATGTGTTAACGTAACTCGGGTATTCATAATATTCACATGGTCCGAATACTAAACGTTGATCGGGTACACCATTTCTACAATATTAATATAATATTAAGTTTCAACATGGATCTCGTAATTTATACTACGACTTAAAATTATTATATATACGCTTAAAAAAAGCCCACACTATAATATTATTATTTATTACTGTTGAAGTCGATTATTTTGTTCTTCTATATAAACTAATGTAAATACTTATTAATTAGACTAAAACTTCAATTTCAATTTTAAAAAGTAACGATACACTCAACATAATATTATATAATGTGAATAAAAAGTTTTGATTTCAGGGTTGAACAATACAGGGTGTTTAATGTGTATTAAGATTTACTAACGGCAACTGAGTACATATTTAAAAAAAAAAATAACTCTTCGTGGAACACTGTATAAATTAAATAAAACAAAATGGAAAATGATGGGATGAAACTTCTCTGATAAAAAAATATAGAATAACAACAACAGCAACAACAACAATAATAGTCATAATAATAATGGTATGACAATTTCAGATCCCGAAGGCGTGAGGTGCATAAATAAGACAACGTTGTGTAAATTTCGCTATGTATTTATATTGTATATATATATATTATATAGAACCACGTGCTTATAATATGTATTTTTATGGCCTGCTATGTTATGATCCAGAATAATGGAAGATATTATCCACGGGACTTTACTAAATATTATTTCGGCGACAAATCAAATAAATGTGTAACGAGGATTTAACAAAACTCTCTTGTTTTTTTTTTTGTTTTACTGTACATCTGTTTAGTCAAGCCCTATATATTTTTTCTTAAATATTTAATTTAATTATGTAATACGTGCCAAATAAGATTGGACATTTCACTTGGATCACGCTTATTACTCATACTTATAATGTACATAATTTTATCATATTAACTAGTGCACAAATTATTATTGTTAAGCTCATTATAAAGATTCATTTTTGAGCAGACGTTTCAAATATAATTTACTCGTGTCACCAAAGTACAAACAATCATATGTTTCATTATTTTTATTCAAACAAATTGTTATATTTTTGCAATTTAATATTTGTATATAAATTTCTTATTTTACATCCCTATAATGGTCTAATTTAAAACTTTTTTTACTATTAACATTTATTTATCTAATTATCTCTCTAAATTCTTGTTTATATAAATATTAATTTATGTTCAACGTAGTACGTGTAGTGTGTATGTTAAGTAAGTAATTTTATATATATCTAATACCTACCCATATCATATGGAATACATTTAATATTATGATATTAATAAGTATTTATGATAAGATAAAAATATTAATGGAATATGATAAACATATTTTAATGATTTACTAAGTTATCTTAATGATATCCATATTAATAATTATTATTAGATGGTAGATCGCGAGCGGAGGTATCAAAATATACGAATAACAATACA